TGAGTGCGGTTCTTTTCCCTTAAAATCAAATAGTTTCCAGTGTAGGTGCCATAAGCAGGACGGCGTTCAAAACGCTGCTTTTGCCGCCGCAACTCGGACCTACTGACCGCCGACCGGTCCGGTGATCGAAGTGCGGATCGCATCAAGGGAGTCCAAAGGTCAAGCGTCCGTAGAAGAATCTTCCGCGAGGAAAGCTTTATCTGCTATCTGGGAGGGTGGAGCTTCGTCTGGTTAGCTTTCTAGGTTGGTTTGTGAATATCATTTATGAATAGTTTTTTGGTTGCCGCTTCTCCCTCCCCTACTGCACGGCAGCTTTACTATTTCTGAAGTCGATCGGAAATTTCTAGATAAGCACCCCACCCCTTCTCTCTCTCTTTGCGGATACTGGAGATAAAATCAAAGAAAAGGGGCACTGAGGGGCACACTATTCGGCGCCATGCTTGACCCCGTGGCTTCTGTTTCAATTGGCAGCTGAAGTTTCTTGTATGGGGCACTAAAGTGGCCAGTTTGACTCTGAAAGTTGGTCCAAATGCCCGATTTGTGGCATGTGACGCCCATAGCGCAACACGAACTTAATCAGTCGTTCCCCGAGCGGACAAACAGGAATGAAGCAGGGGCAGTTCTGCAGAAGGCAGACGGGGAGGGCATTTTATATTTTTGCTACTTCCCAACGTGTCAACCCATTTAGAGGGCGTTTCCTTGAGTTGACAGGGTTTACCATGGTGGCACGAGCTTGCTCTGTCTTCACAAGAGTTCACAGGTTTCACCAGAGTGAAACTTGTAAACCGAAACTAGTGAAGCAGCGAAAGTGCAAAATGCCCCCCCCCCTCCGTCGCCGAACTGCATCGGAGCAGCCTTAGTGTAGAGCAAGGCTGATCTGTTAAAGCTATTGCCGAACAGTTTTCAGCTAATCTACGATCACCTTGTGAGGAAAAAGCACAGATTAGCGCAATATCAGCTCTGGCATTTAGCTGGATGAGCAGCACTTCAATTTAATAGCCTTCCGCTATCTATATCAGGCAATCAGCAAAAGGTGATAAGCCTTGAAAGAAACGGAGCAAGAAGGGCTGTATTGTTTGTCCTGGGATACCGTCCATGATTCTTTACGTGGCTAACTTAGAGAACATCGTGCGGTGCAAGTTTGCAGCGTGGGGGAGATCACATTTAGTCGCGTGAGTGGGAGGGGGGGGGTTGGTTTTGCCTTCGGTCCTTCCTGAACTGATATCGCCCCAACGCAACCCACTCTCGCTCGACGCTACCTTTCTGAGGAAACTGGAAGAATCCGGAAAACACTAACGCGAAAATGGTGCAACGTTGGGTTTTCGGAAGATGAGGATGGGAAAGGCAGTCGTAGCAACGGTGGGAATCTGGAGGGTGGAAATCTTGAGGGGATCAAAAATCAACCCTAACAGCGAGATGCCCTCTTGTTAACTGCTCTGCCTTTATGACTGCCGTTTTGTCGCTTTAATGTCGATCTGCTGCGCGAATGGCTGGCTATCTGCAGTCAGGCCTTTTATTGTCACGATGCCTCGTAGAATACTGCCTGCCCATTGAGAGAGCTCGATGTTGGTCGCTTTAATCTTCTCCTGGGATGGGCCGTTTTCCATTCTATATGTGTGTGGTAGTAACACCGTTTGCCATATGTGAGTTTCAGGAAAGAATAAAGTTTCCTGTTTCTAACATACTATATATTCTCTGAGAAAACTAAGCGGGGCACAGAGTTCGATTCGATGGATTCCCTAGGGGGGGGGGGGTCGTATGAGGCCGCCAAAAGGGGTCGTATTTGGGCTGGGAAAAATTTATTTTTATAGTTGATTTTTCTCGCTTTGCGGACGTTTTGGAGGGGGGGTCGTATTTGGTCGTTGTTGGGAGGGGGGGGGTCGTATTTTCTGTCTAGGAGTTACGTGGTTCACTTCATGAGTTTTATGAATTTTCTGTGTTATAGGTACTATGTACGCCCGTACGATGTACGTCGCATGCTTACTACATACCCCCCCCCGCTCGACAACTTTTTCGCCGAGTATAAACCACAACCACAGTCAGCCGATCCAGTGTCATTCACGGGTGTCGCGAATCGCGAGGATCGCTCCCGAGGGAAATCCCTCAGGGTGCGCCGGTGCTCACGTGTAACCGCCGCAATGACCAACTACGACCTATCCGTGATCGCGCGGTAACGTGCGACGCCTCACCGATGGCACCATCACGGCCCTCCCGGGTTAGTTCAACATTATCTACGACTGCGTGTATATCGTATCTCTATCCTCTATCATATACTACATATTTCGGCGGCGGACTCGTGGGGCCTCGGCCCTTAGAACTGTTATATATGATGAATATTTCCAATTCTTCCTGGTCCAACAGCGGGTCGAGGGCGCCGGCCCGACGTGAGTTGTATTATCAAAGTTGACATTGTTTTCCTCATTGATTGTGGTCACTACTTCACTTACCTTATAAATCTATTAATTATTTCATGTTTTATGCATTTCATCGGTATCACCGAACCAGTATGTTTCTGTGCTATGTAGTGTTGCATTAACCGTTAAGAAGGTGTCACGGGGAGATAGCCTCGGGATTAGGCAATGCGGCGTGGGCCTTCTGTGTGGGAATAGTTCATACTTGTGTCCCTGTAAATGTGGGTGTAGAGCCATTGGGACCACCGATCCGTACAGCAGATATGTAGTTAAGCATGCGACGTACATCGTACGAGCATGGGGGGGGTCGTACCAGCCCCTGAAAAAAAGGAGGGGGGGGGTCGTAAAAGCTCGACCAAAATCCCCATCGAATGCTGTGCCCTGAAACAAAGCCAGAGCATATCGTTTTTGGGGAATCTCCAATAGAGGTGGGGGTCGCATTTGGCAGCCAGAATGGAGAGAGAGGGAGGGGTCGTATTTGGGCTGTGTGGCCAAATCCATCTTGATAGTTGATTTTTCCCGCCTCACGGCCGTTGTAAAGGGGTGGGGGTCGTACAGACTCGACTAAAATCCCCAACCAATGATATGCCCTGAATTAAGCCCTCTGAGGAATTCGTTCCGGTGTCTCATTCAAGTTGCTCAAAATGAACAAGAAAGGAAAGCAAGTAAATCAAGTTGGGGCCAGAGCACATCGTTGTTGGGGACTCCCCAGCAGGAGGGGGAGGGTTGCATTTGCTTTCGTGCCTTCTGAGAGAGTTGTCGACTTTACGCGGTTTTTCCTGTTTCATACGTACTGTAGCAAAATTGGGCAAAATCTAAGAAATGGTAGGGAGATGAGTGGTATTTTCCTCGTGGTTTTTCTCGCCTCACATGTGCTATCTGCCCCCCCCCTCGATGGGATGGTCTACCAGCCTCCTAAAAAAAGGGGGGGGGGTTGATGGACTCGACCAATATCCCCAACCAATGTTGTGCCCTGGTCAGAGCCCATAATCGTTGGGCATTCCCCAACAGGAGGTCGTATTAAGTCTGAGGACATTTTTTAATAGTTGATTTTTCTTGTGTCACTGACGCTGTAAGAGAGGGGGGGTCGTATTTGCATGTTGTTGTGAGAGGAGGGAG